TCCCCCACCCTCCTGACTATTCCCTTTCCCAGGACCTTATGCTCTTTTCTCCAAACTGTTTCTGCCTGAATCTACCAGTTTGCCCATCTGTAAGCTGTCTCCCATCAGTCCCAACATTCACACTTTCTTCCTGGCCAGCCCTTTCTTTGGTACTCATCCCCTCCCTCATCCCTTTAACCTCCCAGAACTTCATTACCCCTGTAGACCTGCCTCTCTCACCCATCCAATGATTCTTGGGAATAAGGTGGGACAGGAAGCTTTACTGGACCTTAAAAGATGGTAGGTCTGGGTAAGAGCACCTCAAGCCCAATGAATAGCTGTGTTGTATTGAGCCTTCAGTATGTGCTAGGCACTGTATTAGACACTACATACAGTAACTCATGAAATCTAATGTTATCCCCATTGTACAGATAAAGAAACTGAAATAGGGTCAGAGATTAAATAATTTGCCAAGGTCCGTTACGGGGTGTGAAGACAAAAGCTCTGTGTAGTCCTGACCCTGTGTGAATTATAGGTGTCTTAATAAGAATGGTGGTGTCAGTGAGTCACATACACCCTGCCCTGGCTCAGACCCCTATATACTCAGCATTTGCTCCCAATCCAGAGGTTCTAGATTGGCAAGAGTGATATGGAGAAATGCAGAAATCCTGCAACAAAGATCAAACTCTAGGAAAACTGAGGCAGAAGTACTAGGGAAGGAAGCCTGAGACTGCCAGAGGGAAACCATTGCTCCCCGCCCCACCCAGCCTGAGAGAGCGGTGGAGGGTGGGTGCCAAGAACTTGTAGCCAGCCTGGGTACCACAAGAGGCCCTGGAGTTCTCTCCTTAACCAGGTGCTCACTTCCTCAGTGCCAGGGAGAGGGAAAGTTCTGATGCTGGGCAACTCTCACTCTAGGTCCCAGGAGGTTGAGACCCAGGCCTCCAGCCCTCTCCCACTGCAGGGGTGGGACTTCCTGTTTCTGAGGCTGTTTCTTCGCCTGGTTCAGCACAACAGGGCTGGTAGCTTTCCACTGGGCTCAGCAGTGTCTAAACCTGGTGTGGGCTAGCAGGGAAGTGTGTATTGCTGGGGAGGCGCATCCCCAAGAATCCAAAATCAGGATAGCAGCCAGCTCTCAAAGAAGTTGCACTCTATGACCATCCCTAAAGTGCTGACCTTCTTTTCTTGAGTGGTGGGTGGTAGGAGGGTACTTTTTTATAGAAGGGAAGGGTCCTAACAATGTGACATAGCCATCTTCTTTCCTTCGCCACGGGAAAACAGGAGACAGGTTAAAAACAGAAGCGCGACCATTTCTTTATTAAATTATACAAAAAGGGGAGGGGGGGCAGCTGTGGGGCTTGGTCCCAACCCTGGCCCCACCCTGGCCTGGCGCTGTCTGAGAGAAGGGGATCTGAGGGAGACCCAGGAATCAGGCAGGGTAGGGATGGTCAAGACAGAAGGCTAGGATGCAGAGGTTAGGAAGGAGACTGGGAGGGGGTGGGGGGAGTGGCTGGGAGGAGAGAGGGAGGAAAAGAGAAAGAAGAGGGAAAGGGGGCAATTGGAGACCAGCTGGGGAGCTCAGATGGAACAGGTCAGGAAGTGGAACAATGGCAGAGTGAGGATGGAGGGGCAGTGTCTGGAGAGGTGGACATGAGAAGGCTGGGGAGAAAGAGGGTGGCAGCTCTGATGCAGGGCCCAGAGCAAGGAGTCAGGTGAAGAGTGGCTGTACTCGTCTGTTCCTGCCCCCATCTCCAGGCCCCGAGGGGCCTCCCACCCCAGCCCACTGGCAGGGGGCTCATGCCGACGCCCCATTTTCTGTCTTCTGCCGCTTGGGATCAGCTTCATCCTGTGGAGAGAGAAAGAGCTGATAAATGGGAGAGGGACATCCCCTGTCCCTGCCCTGCTCCGGCACCCGCCCATGCACCACAGGGATCTGGGTCCAAATCCAAAGGGCTCCCAGCTGCATCCCTGATAGCCCCTCAGGCCCCACAACCCAGCCCAAACCTCCTCTTCAGCAGCTCTCTTCAGCGCGGGCCCCTCGTCGTCATCTTCTTCTTCTTCCTCATCTGAGGAGCCAGAAATGGGTCATTGGGGAAGAGCAGGAAGCTCCAGCAGACCCCCTGTGGCTGCCCTCAGCCCTGTTTCAGGTCTTCAAACCCACCCTAACTCTGTTCCTTGGAGCCCAGCCTCCCTGCCCCTCCCCACCTTCTTCTTCCCCTTCATCTTCCTCCTCTCCGTCCTCAGCAGTTTCTTCTTCCTCCTCCTCAGCTCCATTCTCCTCCTCCTTTGGGGACCAGAAGAGAGAGCATGTCAGGCTGGATGCCCCACCCACCATCACCACCAGGGGCAAGGGGCACTGGGAGGGCCTGAGGGGTGGGGCAGGGACTAGCGGAGAGGTCGGAGCAAACACTGCAAAGACAGACCAGCCTCCCAGGAAGGTAACTGGAGGGGGAATGGTGGGGAGGTGTGGCCACAACCCCAACCCTGACCCTCAGCACCTCCACCACTTCTTTCTTTCGCTCTTTCCGGCTCGCCTTCTCCTCCACCTTCTCTTTCTTCTCCTTCAGGTCCTGCAAGAGAGAAAGGGGTCACCTTTCTCTCACCACAAATGATCTGCAGCCTTTAAGTCCCTCTAGCTCCAGTTCTCCCTCCGCAGTGAGCTTAGAAGAGTGTGAAATGGAGAAGGTAGCCACAGCAGCTTGGAGTCAGAAGAGGTCCCACGGTCCTTAAGGCCATATCGGGGCTGAGACCAGACACCCTCCCCCAAGACTCAGGGGAGATGAAAAGTGATGAGGAAAGAGAACTAGGCGGCCAAGGTAACTGCTCACCATCCCCATCAAGCTCTTCCAAACCTCACTGGTTGAAGAGTTCAGCTCAGCAAAGCAAATCCCCTCCATCTGCTCATGGCCCTGATGCCCCACCCCCTCCATTGCCTACCCAGCTCCGCCTTTTGTCTACCCCTTGGGCCTTTTCCTGGTACTCTTTCCTGGGCATCCCTCCCAGCTTCCCCCCAACTACCAAAGCCTTTGTTGCCCTGTCTGTATGTCTGTCCCCAAAGTCCTCAGGCTCCTACTTGGGTAAATACCACAGGAATAGGGAGAGCACTCTAGCCCAATTCCTGGCACCCCCTCACTTTTTCCCACTCCCCCTTCCAAAAAAAAGTTCAAGTAGTTTCCTCCCCCTAAGGCCCATGGTGTGGTAGAAATAACCACTTCCAGGGGATGTAGGTCAAGCAGGGTAAAAGAAACATGGGAGAATGTGGGGCATGGAGGATGAAAGAAGAGAGACAAACACATTGTGTATGGGGTGGGACAGGAATACAGATGGGGAAAGGACCTGTCCATCCCCTGCACTGCCCCTCTCTTCTTCACCCCAAGATCTTAGCAGGCACACCCTACTGTCCTTTTCTGATATGGCAGAAGGAGATGCGCTCCTGAGAGAGTCTCCTCTCTCTAGACACACCCACCCTTCCAATTTTGATTCCAGTCTTCTTCCCACCCCACCCTTGGCAGGCACTGAACGACAGTGTCTCCCTGTGATCAGATCTGGCATCGGTGTGCAACTCTGTGTATCTGATTCCATGTGGATGGAAGTTTTCTGTGTGAGTAGATCACTCTGGAAGGGTGTGTCCTTTCTGGAACAGAACTGAGGATAGGAGAGGTGGGGGTTGGTGTCAATGGTTGGCCTGGAGAGACACTTAATTCCCTTCTCCCTTTCAGGGGAGCACAGAATGCTTGACCCTCTCACTCCAGCTAGGTTTCTTCATGTCACTTGGCTGTCCTCATTTCTTTGCCACATGGACAGTATGGCATTTCTTTCTTTTTTAATTAAATTTATTGATTTGAGAGACAAGGGAGAGAGAGATATCGATTTGTTGTTCTACTTATTTATGCATTCATTGGTTGATTCTCGTATGTGCCCTGACCGGGTATCAAACCCATACCTTGGCGTATCAGGACGATGCTCTAACAACTGAGATACCTGGCCAGGGCAGTATGGCATTTCCACTGCCTAGTTGATTTTCCCCTCCATTCTGGGCCTGGAGAGCCAGGGGCTCATCAGCTCCTATCTGGACTGCAGCACTAAGTCTGTGCAGCCCTGGCCTGAGTTTCACATCTGGGCTTAAGAGGGGGAGGGAGACTACCAGAGACCAAAGTCCAAGGGGCCAGGTCCTCTCCTCCCTGTCCTGTCCTTCTGGTCACTGTCCTTCCATGATCCCTTTTCCAGGAGGGTATGTGACCCAGGTCTTGTGCAGAGAAGCCCTCTGGCCTCATTTACTCACACAGGCGCACACACTGACACAGGCTGACACCAATTCACACACACAGCTACAGAGGAGCACCCACGCAACCCAAAGACACATGGCCTGGTGTTTGGGCCTTCTGGCACACTCTTGTGACAGACAGCACAAGAGCACAGTGGAGCCACTCACAAAGCAGCAACATGGCTCCAGGTCTCCACATGCACACATGTAACTGACACAGGCAGTCCCACACACTTGCTGAATTTCAGACATACAAAGACACCTACTCAATGAAGTCACATGCCACCACACCTTTCCAGATCTCCCATATAGCCCCTCTCTTTCAGTGCCTTTAATCCTAATGGTACCCCCTTTTCACTTCCCAGGCCACCAGGAGGCCTCTGTGACCTCAGCAACCCCCCACTCCCAAGGTCGGGCTCCCAGCCCCCAAGCTCTGGCCGAATTAATTTCCCAAAGCAATACTCAGCAAGTTCCCTAGAGAAATTAAAGGCTGAAAGAGAGGCAAGGGCAAACGGATGGGCCAGGGAAGGGAGCTGACGAGAGCAAGGACGGCTCTACGCAAGGCCATGCAATGCTGAGCAGAGGTTTTTTCGAAGGCTATTCCTAACCTGCTTCTGATTTTTAGGGACTTAAAATTCTTTAAGTGTGGGGGGAGAGAGTGAAGGGGTGCTATGGAGAGAAAAGATAGCTGAAGGCCATGGGTAAAGGAAAGACGGAAAGAAAGGAGGGAAATGAGAAAATAGAGGCAGTAGCTGTCCAAGAGGCAGTCGGCCTCGAGGAGCAGCCTCCAGGGAGAGTCCTGTTTACACAGGAGGGTCTCAAACCACTTAGCCGAGGAAAGGTGAGGTCAGGTTGGAAGGAGGGACGGGGAAACGGGGCGCGGGGAGAGGGGCGTAGGAAAGGGGCAGGTAAAGTGAGCCGCGGAGAGCTCCGACGGGAAACTGGCCACGGACACGGCGCGCGGGCCTGGCCCGGAGAGGGGTGGAGACAGCGGCTGGGCCCGAGCGGGGCCGGGAGCGTCACTCGGGAAGCTAGAGGGCGCTGGCGGGCGCACGCCGAGGCGGGTAGGCAGCGCCAGGCAGGGGAGCGGGGGGAGGGCAGAGAAGGGTCTGCCGGGATCCGGCGCCTGGACAGCGTGGGGCCGTCGGGGGCGGCCTGGGGTGCGTGACCGCGCGGAGTCCGGGGGT